CTATGTGAGCGGTCAGACCTGGCTGACTGCTCTTCCCAGCAGATGTCTGGAAAGCTCAGGTCCCCCATGATGACCACGTCCTTTGACCAAACTACCACCATGAGCTGACTTCAGAATTCCTGGTCTAGCTCTTCCCCGTGGTCGGGAGGTCTGTAGTCGACCCCCACCGTTAAGTCTCTTTTCCCTCAACTGCCTTGTATCCTAACCCAGAGCACTTCTGTGTGCCCCTGCTCTGACTCTGTGCTAACTGATGAGGATGTGTATTCCTCCTTAATGTAGAGCACACGTCCCCCGCCCTGTCCCTCCTGTACAGCCCATAGCCCTTGACATTCACCGCCGAGTCATGCCTTGGGTCCCACCACGTTTCAGTGAGCCCCACTATATCTGGGTTGGTGTCAGCTAGCAGGAGGGTAAGTTCCTCCTGCTTCTTACCCATACTACGAGCATTTGTGTGGAGGCATTTGAGGCCTCCTGAGGATGTGTGCACAGGAGAGCATTTCTTTATTTCTTTATTGCAGGTTAGAGGAGAACATTGCTTTATTTCAGACACATGGCGCTATTTCCTGCTCCCTCTCTGTGGGAGTGCACAATTCAAACAGGATCAGTTTACCACAGGCAAAAAGGGGAGATGCAGGAGTCTCTAGGTAAGTATTAGCAGCATATTTGTGATCTACACTCCTATTTTATACCAACCATGGTTCTGGATTTCTAAAGGATTTTAATGGGGTTTTAGTTTTAGAGCTATAAAATTAGCTTCCCACGATCATAGTCTGAGGGCTCAGTGTGTAGCAAAGTAGAGCAGGGCATGATTTAATTAGAATTATAAGCAAGAGCCAAGACATGGTATTATGTCTTTTCCCCTTTATGGAACAGTACTAGAAGAAAAGCCACACAAGCACAGTGGAGTCCAAACACCTGCGTGTACTCAGTCTACACACTGTAGAAGGCAGGGCTATATTTACATTGCTTTGCTGGTAGCTTTTTAAAACAAGGAACATAATTAGAATCTCTACGATGTCTCTCACATTGTTTAAAGAGATACTGCCCAATTGCTATGCACACCCCATTGCAGTGAAAAGGTGTGTTTGCATTGTAGTTGAAAGCAAGCTGCTATTTCTCTGCTGTTCAGGATCTTCCCATACTGATCATTTAAGAAGAGAAAAGACATGAAGCACTAAGTATCATTACCTGATTATGATTGGAATTGATTCTTCCCAGTTTCTGAAAATCATTGCATGAATCATGGAAATGATGGCATTCACATGGCCAAAGCCATGGTTCAATGAATTCATGGATGTGTCTGCTACTGTCCTCTATTGCTTGCAATTGAAACTGTTTCCTGACCCTTGATGGGATCATGGCAGTGGCTTAAGTTTTTAGATGGGGAAGGATATGCAGTCAACTTCCAAGCAAGGAATTACAAAGTTCTAGTGTGGCCTTGGGTCTGTCACTATATTTAGAGCTCCTTTGTCTATATCTGTGTCTGAAATGATGGTCACCATGTTTGCTTATCCATTTCTCACTCCCCAGTAAAACAGACAGCTTGAGTAGAATAGCCAGGCTGGTGTGTTTGCACTGTTACCCATAGATGGTTTAGGAAAATCACATGCAGCTGTATCAATATTGACTGGGCATGCAACATGAAAATAAAAATGTCCCCATCAGGAGTTCTCATGGGATAAAGACATTTCTACAATGCCAACACGAAAAAGGGGGCAAGATTTCCAGCTTCTCACGTGTTGCTGTGGAAGGCTGAAAGCCTTTCAGCAATTCTTGTTCCTTTTTTTTGTGTTGAGATACTGCCTGAGTGTACCAGCTGAGACTGGGGCCTCAGTGTGCCAAGGGATGTATGTGCACACATGCAAACACTTGCCTACACAGAGAGTAAGACAGAGTTTAGCATCCAAGTAGATGCCAAGAGAATACCGATCGGTACCACAGGTGGGAGATGGAAAGCAACGGAGAGCTAGTTATGGTCACTCTAATAAGCAGTGGTCACTGCACACCAGCTGCCTAAGACTATGCTGCCTTGTTTCAGAGCAATACACATAAAAGTCAGCAATGATGCATCAATGTAGCTGCTGACTGGCTTGCTACAGGTTTGGCTGAGATGGTGGCAGAATTTCACAACTGCAGCTCCAACCTCTTCCCAGTCCTGAGCACTGAACATCCCATACTTTCCTGACCAACAGTGGGCAACAGTCTGCACCTAGACATGCTGCACTCCCTTCTCAGTAGCTTTCACCTGGCCCCAAGTAGAAATGGGGAAGAGATGAGCTATGGTTTGTTAGCTTCCCCACTTGCCAAGGTATGTTTGCAGGAGATAACTGCCTAAAGCGACTGTCCTCTCTCTTTCCTCCCCTGAAAACTCTTTCATGTTCCCATGGGGGTCAGGCACGGTGTCCTTGCCTGGTTGATGCCATCACTAAATATGTTCCCCACTCCCTTCCTTCATATCTCTTTACAGGGCAGCCATGGCAAAAGGCATGAAAGGCCCAGGGGGCCGGCACCTGGGCACGCTGGGACCGTTCGCTTCTTCCCGCCTGGTTTACGGGGCAAGCTTCTGTACGCCGGCAGCTCTTCAGTAACAGCGCCACGTGCCTCCTGCTCCCCAGCACGATCAACGGTGGGGCTCTTTTCCTGTCCTTGGTCCACTCACATTTCAGGCAGTTTCACTGGGCCACGTCCACTGGCTCTTTGGACTCGTCTGAGCACCAGTGGGCCCTGTCCAGTGTGGTCTCCCCTTGGTGCACTCAGGCTGAGCCTTTGACCATCGTCCCCATCCCTGATTTCCCTTCCTTTTGCCCCAAAAAAGTAGCTGTTGCTTTAGCGGCCTCCCTTTCTAAGGGAGGCTTAAACTTCTTCCTGGTGGGCAGTGCTCCCTTGAAAGTAACAAATCCCCAGTGCGTTTCGCAGGCAGGGCTGACAGCCTGGCTTGAAATAACCACGCGGTGGCATGGACGGCCCAGCCGGTTCGGGGACGTTGGGCTGCTATCGACAGCTCCTGCCTCCAAGCTCTGCCCTGCTGCCGGGAAGGCGACTGGCTGATGTTTAATGGGAAAGGGGCTTTGCATCAGGCCAGGCATGGGGCCGGGGGGGGGCGATGCCCGCTCCAGCTCCCCCGCCCCCGTGCAGCCAGCTCCAGGGAGCAGGGGAAACAAAAGGATCATACAGTTTGCCCTCCGAGCGGCAGGCGGGGTGGCAGGAAACCTCCCCAACAGCCGCCCTCTCTATGGTATGCTCCTTCCGCAGAGTGAGCTTCCGCATCCTCATCCGGGGTAGGGCGCTGCGGCGTGATTCTGATTGGCTGGCGGCTCCGACCTCTTCCTTCTTGCAGGCGAAGCAGTGTGGTGGTTTTCCCGCGCATGCGCACGCGGTTCCTGTACTCCTTGCGGGCTGTCCGGGGTTCCTCCTGCGGAGCCGGAGCCGGAGACGGAGCCGCGCTTAACCCCAGAGTTGGCTGCAGCTGGTGCATCTCGCTGGCCCCCGGGAAGCTCAGGGTCTAGCCTCCAGGCACTTGGCCTCACTTTGCCTATCTGTAAAATGGGTCTGTAACAGCGCACAGCTCTTCTAACAGTCTTCCTGCTGCGTGGGTGAGAGGTGACGTGTAAGCCCTGCGGGGGAGGAAGGGAAGAGCGGGGCTTGGTGGTTCTTCCAGCCCTTTGCGCTCGGCTGGGGTGGCGCAAAGGCAAAAGGATGCACGTGGCCAGGGCCGTGCTAACGTGATGCTCATGTCTGCGTCCTGCTGCAGGTTGGTGAGAGGCTTCCTCCATGGGCCCGCAGATGGGAGGCCTGCTCAGGAGGTGGAAGGAGTTGCTTTCCCAAGTGCCGACCCACGCCGGGCCAGGGCAGCGCTGCCGCCAGGTGCACCACGATGGCTCCACCAGACCCAGGCGAGTGGTTCTGTCCCAGCTCTTCCAGCCTTTCAATCTTTGGGAGGACCACGCAGCGGACCTGGAAAGCAAACCTGGTGACTTGACTTGCAGGAGCCAGAAGCTGATGCTGCAGGCTGGCCTGATCTGCCCTGCCCAGAATGGCTGCTATTACTACATGCCCTACACCGTTCGAGCGATGGAGAAGCTCATCCAGGTGATCGACCGAGCGATGCAGGGTATTGGAGGGCAGAAGCTCAACATGCCCAGTTTAAACTCTGCGGAGCTCTGGAGAGCCAGCGGGCGGTGGGATATAATGGGCAAGGAGCTCTTCAGACTGGCAGACAGACACAATCAGGAGTACTGCCTGGGGCCCACGCATGAAGAGATCGTTACACATTTGGTTGCCTCGCAAGCAGCCTTGTCCTACAGGCAGCTTCCCCTCCTGCTGTACCAGATAACGAGGAAGTTTCGGGACGAACCAAAGCCTCGCTTTGGTTTGCTGCGCAGCAGGGAGTTCTACATGAAGGACATGTACACATTCGACACCTCCGAGAAGGCTGCTCACCAGACCTACAGCCTGGTGTGTGACGCCTACTGCAGCGTGTTTAACCGCTTGGGGCTTAGCGTCTTAAAAGTCCAAGCAGACACGGGCAGCATTGGAGGGACCATGTCTCATGAGTTCCAGCTCCCGGCCAGCACTGGAGAGGACAGGCTTGTGGTCTGCCCAGGCTGCAACTTTTCTGCCAATGCAGAAACGATAAACTTTGACCTGACCGACTGCCCGGTTTGTTACAGAAAACTAACAGAGACCAAAGGGATTGAGGTCGGGCATGCGTTCTATCTGGGCACCAAGTATTCCTCTGTTTTTAATGCTACCTTCCAAGATGCCGAAAGCAAACGTGTGCTGGCGGAAATGGGCTGTTATGGACTGGGCGTCACTCGGATTCTGGCTGCTTCTGTCGAGGTGCTTTCTACAGAAGACAGAATCCGTTGGCCAAGCCTCATTGCCCCTTACCAGGTCTGCCTCATACCCCCGAAGAAGGGCAGCAGGGAAGAGGTGGGAGTGGCGCTGATGGAGAGCTTGTATGATGATATTGCTGATGGCGTGCCTCAGGTTAAAGGGGACGTGATACTGGATGACAGGATTCACTGGACTATTGGTAAAAGACTGAAAGATGCTAACATGCTTGGTTACCCATACGTTGTAATAGCTGGGAAGAAAGTTCTGAATACACCTGCTGAGTTTGAAGTCTGGAGTCAGAACACTGGAGAGGTCTCGTTCCTTACTAAAGAAGGTGTTATTGAATTGTTAAGTAAAGTGCAAGTTCCCTAAATTTTGGTCTACAGTCTTTGGTGTCTTAATGTGTATCCAATTCCATCAACTTGTATTCAGTACTATCTTTAAAAGGCATTTGAGGACCAAATACAGCACTCATTAGAGAGGAAGCATCGAGTAATTTGCAGCATGATGTGTTGCATGGTGCTAGAAATCATGTCCTGATCTAATCATCACCAGATGGGGGATTTTACTTTAACAAGAGAGTGATTCTTTATTATTATTATTCATAACAAAGCCTCATGCTTAGGGGAGGACCTAAAAGCTTAATAAGCACACAGACCTTAAATGTGAATGTGCAGGACTTTGGCTTGTACCCACAGATTGCAGTCCTAACGCCCCTTGTGAGGTCAGGATAGGGAGGGGACTGTTATGATCAGGTCTGCCTTTTCAGTGGTAGTTCCCTTCATGTAATCCTGGGATTGCAAAAGGGCTCTTGATGACCAGGAAAGCAAGATGCACCATTCTGCAATTTCCACCAACTAGATATAGGCCTCTGTACTGCGGAAGCCACGCCCCAGTGCCTGTAGGCTGCTGTGAAATTCCTTTTTGTGATATATTCTTGTTTTATAACTGTTCAGCCACTTAGAGTATTGAAACAACTCACTGGAATCATCCTTTAAAACCTAAATTGAGCATGGCAGAGAAAATGGTCTAGTGTCAGGGCCTCGGCTGGTACAAATTTGTGTAACACCAGTGAAGTGAATGGACCTACACTGGTTTATGTCAGCTAAAGATTTGGGCTGTAGTGTCCACAGTTTTAAGTCCCATCCATCCCCCACCCCTGCTCCAAGCTCTGAAACAGATGAGCAGAACCATTGGAGAAGGGTCAGAAGGAAACGTTCCACATTGTGCATGGAGAGTACCAGCATTGCTTGGGGCAGACAGCTGGAAACTCACCTCCCTGCAACAGGAAACAGTGAGGAACAGCAAGCAGACTCTTGCCAAAGGGGCTTGTTACTGATCAAAGGCTGGGGTCTTTTGCCCACTGATGTCAATGGGGGCTTTGCCAAGGATAGCCTGAGGCTCCAGGGGGATGATAGCAGGGGGTTGGGGATGCTGTCAAACAAAGGAAAAAAGTCTGGCTCAATCCTCCAGCACTGCACCTGAAGTAGTAGGAGCAGTGTGAACTGCCCCGCTGAGAAAGGGTTCCAGGACCCCCTGGCTCAGGTGTGAATGCCCAATAAGACCGTCTTATTTTTTTAAATGCTAATGTCCAGGAGATTACATGTGACTGGAAAGTGAAGTGAAAGGAGAAGTGAAGTTTATGTTTGGAAGGGAAACGGGCTGTTTCGTAGGGCTCTACATTAGTTGGACCGGACAGTCCCTATGGCAGTGGTTCTCAACCTTTTTAGACTCAAGGCACCCCTCGGAAAATGCCAGCTCCTAGTTTTCACTTGGTTTTTGACTACAGAAAAAATAATAGAGCGATTCTTCTGTTGCAAAGACCTTAGAAAGCAAGTCAGAATCTACCATTGTGGATTCCTTTTGGACTTTCTGGGTTTATCTTGTAAATCATGTTTGCACACGTAGCAGTGTTAACATTGTGTGACATCCTGTGGCGCTCCTCAAAGGATCTCAAAACACCCAAAGGTGCTGCAGCTCCCTGGTTGAGAATGATTGCCCTATGGGATTCCACTCGCATCAAAAGCAAAAGGAATCCTTTGATGAAATCCACTGGGAGATGAATTGCACCCTAGCTCTTCAGCCTAAGGGAGTATTGCGTGTTTCAGTGCAGGCTGCACAGCCGCTCAAAATGCTGAGGACAGCAGCACTGGATGCTATTCTGCCTCCCTTACTGGTGTCCATTCAATGCATGCTTATGACATCATTTGTTTCACAGCTTCATTTACATACAGCTGTGAATATTGATAGTGAGCTGTAATAAACAGGTCAAATGGTCACTCCTGATGCTGCAACAGGGAGGCTGCACATGTGTGTGGAGATCTATCTTCAAGAAGGTGCAGGAGATTCTGTTTAAGACACTCAAGTCTGATGCTTGATGGGAAGGCGTCTGACATGAACAGGAGCCAACAGTATCTCATGAGTGAACCACGGGTGGAAGAGCATGTGGATCCAGCCCTAAGAGGCAGGGAATCATATGCTGATCCAGTATCCCAGGACTACCCTTTCTGGGTCCCAAAGATGGAGGAAAGTGCCCTCTCTTTAGTCCTTGGAGGTAAGGAGCAATGTTCTGATGATCTACCTGGGCCCTCTGAGGTTGTAGGAAGAGGTGACTGAGATCACTCAGGAGGCTGTTAGAGCACTCAGTGCCATAGCCTGTGTCTGCAGGTGTGGGGATCTCTGTGTCTGGGGAAACTGAGGCCTGTGCCTGTGATATGCTCAAGTAAACATGTGCCTTGACCAGAAGGCTCTCTAGAGAAGTGGTATTAGGAGGCCTTGGATCTAGTTAAGTCCTAGCTAACAAGGTGTTTATATGGTTCCAACATACATTGATCAGGCTGGGAAGTTCAGAGATACCTTAGGCCCTTAGCCTTTCGATGGGATTTAAGGGCATTTACACACATGCTGCTGGAGGTGGGGGGCACTTTAATTAGAGCAGCTCTAAGAGCTGCTCTCATTAAAGCACCCAGAGGGTCACATGTATCAGCATCCCTGTGTCAAAAAATGGCAGTGGGGACGCTAAAGCTCATTGAATAAACACCCCGCCGTCATTTTTCAGCACGGGGATGCTGATATAGGTGACACTGGAGTCTGCTGGAGTATGGTAATTACCATGCTCCAGCAGAATTGAGTTTGCTCTGATGCACTGTAATTACAGTGGGTTGGAGCAGCCTCGATTCAGAAGTATAGGCACCCTAAGCGCCTAACCCCTCTAATAGGCTCCCAACCTGATTGGTCACAATACTGCTTTGTGATGGGAATGATTACTGTCTCCATTTTGCGGATGGGGAAACTAAGGCCCAGAGAGAGATCAAGATGCCACATTTGGGGCTTGCTGTATAGATTTCCTATGCTAGCAACATTCCCACCAACATTGAAGATGGATGTGATAGACTGCAGGACTACCCTACTCCTAAGATGCCTTATATCAGTGATGTAAAATGCCCTTCCCTACTCTTGTGGCTTTATCTTGCACCAGAAGTGGGCAGCTGAGAACTGGGAAGCTACAACCAGCTCCCTGGCCAAATCCAGAACTTGGTGACATAGAGAATTAAGCCAAAGTGATCTGCCCAAGCTCACAGGAAGTTGGCAGCAAAGCTAGAAATGAAACCCAGGCCTTGTGATTCCTAACTGAGCATCTTGAATACCTAATCTCTTCTGAGTACATCATCTGCCAGCAAGGGCAGTGCTATACCCTTCAACCACGCACAACAGGAATCTGCCCTCATTCTTCTTATCCCATTCAGAAATACACAATGAGGCATATGAGACAATGACGCAGGACCTGATAGAGAAAGAGGACAGCGCCTTGGAAATGGAGGCCCTGAACGACTCCAATAATCTGGTAGGAACCTGCTTGCCTCCCTTAGCATGTCTGTGTTGTTAATCTGGGTTTCCCTGGACATTTATCACATGCTCATCACATCTTCCACAAGGTGTTTATTCCATACCTGTAGTTACCTAAGCATCTGATTGCCCTCCATCCACTCCATCCACATATTCAGCAGCTATATACATTGATTTTTTGATGCCATCCAGGCAAGAAGGGTGTCTGCCTGCTTAATAAGTGCCTCATGACAGAGAATGTGTTACTCTTTTGGAGGTTTTTAAGTGGGAAGAGTTGCTCCTGGCTGATGTCTGCATGCTTCATACATTAATATCTCCTGTTCTGTCCTTGCTCGGCTGGTCCATGATGCGAGAAGGCAGTTGGCAGGGAAGTCATTGAGAACAGAGCAAACCAGCCCGAGAGCCAAAATCTCATGCTCATCAGACAGGCTGTGGTGAGTGAAAGCAGCCCAGGGCTCATGTTATAAAACCAGGTGGACATAGAACGGGGACTGTCCTGCCTGGAGACGGCCATGGGGAATTTGATACATTCAAATACAAAAAAGCTTGATACACAGAGGCTGGCAATCAATTGTTCTCAGTGTCCACCGGAGACAACACCACCAGTAATGAGTTTAATATGTAACCATGGAGATTTAGGTTGCATATTAGGAAGAACTTTTCCACTATGATGATTGTTCCCTCGAGAGCCTGTGGTGTCTCCATCCTCAGCAGTTTTTGAGAGCAGGTTGGACAGACACTTGGCTGGGATGGTTTAGTCAAGGATGATCCTGCCTTAAGCAGATGGTTGGACTAGATGTGAGCTCTTGAGGTCCCTTCCAGCCTTGTTCTCCAGGGCTTAGGGGTGTAGCCAGCCTGTCCCAGGGATTGTTTAGCCTCCCAGTCCTCTGGAGGCTGGTGAAACGACCTCTTTTGGGGGGTGAGCCGGGGGGGCAGCTAATGATGGGGCTCTTCGCTATGATTTTTACATCTCCTCTGGGATTCACAGAAGCGCATTAAAGAGCTGCCACAGGACTCGCTGGACGCATGCTCCAGTGACTTGCGCCATCAGGAGATGCTGTTTATTGAGGACCTCAGGTACTTCTCACCCTAAGTCCATCAGAGCCAGAAATCTCATCCCTCCAGGGGCCCTCCCATGTCTTTGTGGGGAGAGCAGGGGAACGTGCACCTTGTTCGCTGCTTGGCTGCATGGCTTATCCTAACCAGTGTCCTAAGGGCCTTGAATTTGAGTGGGTGTTAAACCAGGATTCACTTCCTGGCTTTCCCCATAGACAGCCTATAGGTGCAAACTGCTCTCTGTATTCCTATAGGTCAGGGGTGGGCAATTATTGTGGGCAGAGGGCCACTTACTGAGTTTTGGCAAGCCGTTGAGGGCCGCATGACAGGCAGGTGGGGGAAGATAAATATTAATTTTCTAAATTTTTTAGGGGCCCCACGAGCCAGATAGAATGGCCTGGCATCTGGCCTGCGGGCTGCATTTTGCCCACCCCTGCTATAGGTGCTAACTGATCATCTGTACAATGGAGA